GACAATGTTGTATCCAATCAATGCATAATTTTGTCTATCAAAATTCAATATTATTTTTATTGTTTACTTTAGGTAATGAAGGCACCATAGAGAAATATTGGTATTGTATGGGTATTTTATTATTAATTCCATATAATTGGAAATGGTGTTTACTCAACGATGATTTCATACTAGATGGATTTTATAAAATGTGTCAAGCTGTAAAAAATGATGAAAATCAAATAAAACTAAAACAAGCATGTATTGAATTAGTTAATTATATTTTATATCGTTTGAACAGACGAAGATATGAATATCTTGAAAATTTTGATTCAAGAGAATTGCTTAATTCCCTATTATTGCTATATAATTTAAAACTCGATGATAATCAATCTGTTTTAAATGCTCTTATTTCAACAATTAAAAATCATTCATTTACTCAAGGTCTATTTTGGTACGAGAGTATGCACAATATAATATACAACGTTGGCAATGTAATTGGTTGGCATCAAATTGGAATTTATATCTATGATGCATTTAAAATATCTTTAGAAGAAAACACTATTGCACAATCTGTGAAATTTTTAATCTCTTTTATTTCAAGTATGTTAATCGTTTTAATTTACTTAGGAACATAGAAATTGTTGTACGTAAAATTTCTATTTAATTTATTTTGATTGTATTTGTGCTAAAAGATATGTAACGAATGGTGCAGAAGAAATTGTCGGCTTTTAATAAACTATTTTCTAAAGTTAAACTGAATGAGAAAATTTCGTTTTGATGTCAAAAGAGAGAGAACTTTATTGATATGTTCTTTGAAAAATGGGCATTTGGTCTTCTCTTGTAATATTGTAAGTACAAGATACCAGAAAAACATAGTTTGCTAAGCAATTTACGAGAATAAGGTATTATTAAATGGTTTTCCATACAGAGACGTATCTGCTTTTAAGCTCCAATACGAAATCTACGAATGAAATTTCGTCATGCGAAAAATGCCTGATGGTTCAGTTTTAATTCTTTTTTATGTCAGACAAAAGATCTTAGTCTCATTAGTAGTTTAAAAAAAAAGGAGTTCATCCTTTATATTTTGTAGAACTTGAAAATCTGCATTTGTTGATATCAAAAGATTTGTTCTTGTAAAACGAATAGATAACAAAAATATGTATCAGTCGAATACCTTTGATACTACATGAGGAGGACAAATGTCCATTTTGCAAAGGATATATCAATAAAATTTTCTACTTTTTCACATAAGAACGAAACTTTATCATCTAGTCTAACTTTAGAAAACAGTCTACTAAAAAAAGTCGGTAATTTCTTCTACGCCATCCGTTAATTAGATCGAGTTATTTTACTGGTTTTTCTAGCTCAAATTGACCATTTCTTTTTATGATAGAAAAAATGACATTAATCTCGGACTATACACATCTTTTGTATCCGAATTTTCTCAAAAGACTACATCTTAAGAAGTAAAATTTATGAAGATTTGAAATTTTCGTCTTCATTGATGTGAACATTTCAAATGTAGTTGAACTTAGAATTTTGTCTGAATAAAGTCTCGTAGACAATTGATTTATGTAAATTGTGTGAGAATGACACTTGACAAGGTTCTCATAATAAAAAGAGAATAAAATATTCAAAGGACAGAAACTGATTTTTTTCTTATCATATATTATTAATATGAACATAAAAGATCAAAATGATTCTAATGAGATAGATATTAATACTTTAAAACTCAATGTCTCTTCCAAGGAACATTGAAAAAATCTCAATAAAACTTTATATATAAGATTGAGTGTTTTCTTTAAGACTAGTGGCATATCCAGGATTTTTTCGCATGCTGGATTTCATCTTTAGAGCATAGGATCCAGGTGAAACTTATAGAGATATGATATTGAACTGAAATGATGAGTTTTTATCGAAAGATTTTTGCAGTAGTAGTTTGCAAAAAAATTTGCATTTTCCTGAGCCCCATCAAGATTTTTCTTTTACTATTTGTCGTATTCTTTTTTTAGAATATAGTAGTAAGCTACATCAAAATTCATCGATAGATTTCAAATTTCATGCAAAAATCTGCATCCATTCAAGAGTTATAACGTTTTGAAGGTTCGCTAAATTATTCGCAGCATGCAACAAAAATTCAAAACGTTATAACTCTTGAACGGATGCAGATTTTTACATGAAATTTGAAATCTATCGATGAATTTTGATGTAGCTTACTACTAAATTCTAAAAAAAGAATACGACAAATAGTAAAAGAAAAATCTTGATGGAGCTCAGGAAAATGCTAATTTTTTTCGCAAACTCCTATTGCAAAAATCTTTCAATAAAAACTCATCATTTCAGTTCAATATCATATCTCTATAAGTTTCACCTGGATCCTATGCTCTAAATATGAAATCCAGCATGCGAAAAAATCCTGGATACGCCACTATTTAGGACTAAGATGATAACCTGAATAGAAAAAGATCAGTCTTGAGTGAAATAATAGACTTTTTAAGACACAGAATTTTTTGTATCTTAAAACTTTTACACACTTTTCGAGTGACATTGCATGGCACAGTATAAGATTATCGAATGAGATCATCTCTAAATTTTTTAATCTATTTGTTAATGCATTATTATATCATGAAGAAAATATTCCTTTCAAGGGACATTGAGTTTGAACAAGCCTTGTATTAGAATAGGTAGTGTATAGTATTGATTTAATTCTTTGTTTTGAATAATAATAAACAAAGAAAAACTCTTTTTTACATAAACTGAAAATAGTGAAAAATTTTAGACCGTTACAATCGAACGTAATTTCCAAGAGACATTCTATATTTCCATAAGAGAAAGTAAATTTTGTCTTTTTACTACAATATAATTATACTGATGAATCTGAAGCTCAGTTCCGATGGCTTTTTTATTCAAATTGTCACGGAAACTTCCTTGGACTTTTAAGGATTAACTTCAAATGAATTAAATATCAGAGAACAATGTATCTATGACCTTTAAAATGTTTCATTGAGTATATTATGCTTTTTTGAATATTTTAGTTAAAAAAACAACCACAATTTCAAGTCATAATTACAATGATCAATCAACTTTTAAAATATGCTTTTGGTTTAAAATATAAAAGAAAACCATTGAAATTAATTGATTATTGTTCTCTATTACATTTATTGAGTGTATATGAGAAAGAGTATTTGTCATCATTACAGATAATTTCTACAACTATTGAAAAAGATCTTTGGTCTGAAATGATTATATCTTCAGATAAAATTTTTATCACAAACTTTTTAGAACCAATATTAGTATCGTATTTAATCAAAATTTGGAACGATAATTCTGCATCGACAAATCATTCAACGTAAGTTACTTTTACAACAAACCAACAGATAAAAATTTAATAAAAGAAGAAATCCTGATAGTTATTTTTGTTTTTTTCACTATGTCAAATAAAACGAGATACTTGCTTTATCTAAAAATGTTAGAATAGTGTCAAAAAGAAACGAATGTGATCATTTCACCTAGTTTTCTTAACAATAAGAATTATATTGAAATTTATGTCCATATGAAAAGAAAATATTTATCAATTAGGAATCATTTTAAAACTTGTGTCAGAGATGAAACCGGTCTGGATTTTTGAAGGCTACTCAAACAAGCAAAATTTCTGAAAAAACACGTTTTTTGTAACTTTCTGAACGTCAAAACAGTAAAAACTCTAATTTTTGAGAGTAAAAACGCAATATTGATTAATCTCTAGATTAATAAAACGTTTAAACATTCAAAAGCTTGAATTTTAGCCGTTTCGTCACGGAGAAAGTTACAAAAAAATACGTCTTTTAGTGAGCGCTAAGCACTGACAATCGTAGTTCCCGTTTGAACATGTTTTTTTCAGAATTCTTATCTGCTTGAGTGTGGTATCGTTTTCATCTCTGATTTGTCTTATACACTCATCTGATACAGAATTCATTGTTATATAGAACTAAAAATTTTATTTTTCAAACAAGTCTTTGTTATATGTGTACCATTTTAAATTTGTGACAAATACCAAAATAAAAGTATCAAATAAGACTTTGTCTAATCATTTCATATATGTGTCGTAAAGTTCTTTCGTCGAATTATGCATATTTTAACGTACATGTCGGAGTAGAAATTAAAATTCTACTAGGAAAAATTGTGATAGCGTATAATTTTGATTATTGATATGAGTGACTTAATATGTAAAAAAGAAATGTTTGTACACTCAAATTGAATGTCTTATTATAATATCAAAGAAAAAATTTCGAATAGCATAAAAATAGAACTGTTTTCTTCTGAACTCGACAGACACATTGAATGTTTGGGTCAAAAATATCGTTCGAAATTTCATTTTAAGTCCTGATTTGGAGAAGTATGAGTTCAGTTCAGCGGAAAGCTTTTGCATTTGCTGAAATAAAATTAAATCAAATGTGGTACCTTCTGCCAAACCTCTCACACAAGGAAGATTGCTGTTTTTTTCCGAAAAACATCGACTTTCTACCAAATTTTTAGACCTCTCTTCTACTTCCAAAAATAATGGGGAACTCTGAACCCTTTGCTCAGTCGAAGAACAACCAGTAGAGGGTACGAGAAAAAGCGTTTTGTGCTCAGTGATAAAAAGATTTTGCCATGTTGGAACTCTTTCACTTAGAAAATTTCTGGATATGCGCCTCAATCAGTTTATACTAGTGCTGAAAGATTGCTATGGCAAATCTTCTTTTAAATTTTTCATTATAGATGATCTTCATTCTATCATGTATAATTCTCTAGTAGAGTTTAAAACTACATCTTTCTACTCCGACATATATGTGAAAAATTTCTCAATAAAACACAATGTCGAAATAGCCTGAACAGACATACGATATTGATGACACTGATCATTGCAGATTGTTAATATTGTTTGTTTTTGTATTGTTTAGAAGTCCATTGTCGTCAACATGGTTTATTTCTTTATATGAATTGTGTTTAAGTGTGTTAAATCGTGCAATAACAAAAGAAAACAGTCAAAAACATAAAGAATATTTAAGGTTAAGACAGCAATTACTTGACATGAAAGTTTCAATCGTACAAGATCAAGCAATGTTAACAACACAAACTACTTACACTGATAAACTGGATGAAAATTCAGTTAAAAGAATAAAAACACATTGATCAGTTTGTTTTCTTCTTACATTGAAGCAACATCTGGAATACTATAGAAGATATCATCATAATACTTTGTATAAGCTATTTTGTTTGGAACAAAATAAACTTTTTGATCATTGATACATGATATATATTCAAAGAAGAAATGACTTCGTTTTGAGAAATAACTGGATTCAATTAAAAAAATCAGATGCAATTAAGTAGACAGCACTTAATCGGAGATTCGAACCATCACAAACTCAAAATAACGAGTGGTCAGAAAATGTTGACTGTTTTTCACACATTTAAATGTAAGGAGAAGTAGTGAACTAGAATCGAAATTTTCCTATGACTTTAGGCTATTGAGCTAGAAGTACATCTTTAAAAGACTGAAACATTTTCTTTGGATGACAAAAACGCAAATGAAATTTTGGTTGAGGTGTTCTATAAAATTTTATTTTATATACTGAAAAATACAGAAATTAATTTTGTACAAAGCGATATCTTT